TGTAACACAATTGTATGCTAGGAAAACTGATTTTAGGAATCCTATAATTTCGTTCTGGGTTGCAGAAGGTTTCCTTTCCAGGGAAAATAAATTAACGAAGGACATGTAGTGTACACGCATGTGCATGTATGTCAGTGTGTAAGGTGAGCATAATTTTCTCTTCTAACTGGAAAAGGTACGAAAGAAAAACAAATGTTGTCAACAAATAAGTCACTCCAGGTTTAAAATTTCATCAAAATAATAGCACTATGAAGATCTAGAGCTAAACATTTTTTCATTTATGCATCTAAGAATGTTAGCATATTATATATCAATATGATAGCCTATGCGCTATAACCAAACTGTTAACTTCTCCCTCGATTCTACATACATTTCAAGTCTTTATGTTTTCCATGTTTAAATGTTTGCAATTAGCTCATAGTTGTTGTATTTAGATTGAGTGCAAGAAGATACTCATCCAGATCAAAAGCTCAACCTCTTACAGATTTGCATACCTTTGTATGCATAGCTACGTTTTCGTAATACTTTGGAAGCATAAATTTGTAAAACTTTTTGCAGCATGGCCTCAAGACCCGGCTTATCTCCATCTTCTTTGGACTGCAATAAGTTAGAAGGAAAGGAATACAAACATTATTAATGGAGAACAGAGGAAAAAAGGAAATAACCTCAAATTAGAAGCATGCCAAAGACATAGTAAATCAATGAGTGTGATAAGTATTGGTAGAAACAATCTTATATTATGAAGCTATTATCTTACAATAGTCAAAATGAAGAGAAAAGAAAAAAAGACCAATGAAGATATTCTTATTTTATAGGAGGCTGACTTTTTTGTTCTTTAATAGTTCTTGAACAGAATCACTAATTAGAACAGAATATAATAAATTGCAGTTAGTCAACATATGATTGTTACATAATTTATCTACTTGGTTGTTCCTAATGCACAAGGTTGATGTTTTTCTCAAGAAAAAAAAAATTGTCTACCTGGGTAATGGTTGACAGTTTCGAACTGAGTTCAAACCTAGGTTGTACAATAACCTCATTAAAATAAAAAAACATATTTAGTTATGCTATCTATACTGGTAATATTAAAAAATAATAATTGCTAATAAGATTGTAAGATCAAACATGGTATGCAACAAGGGACAAGTTGTTGTGCGCCGCGGAAGCCGATTCGACAAGTCAATAGCACACACAAGAACCAATAATAGACCACAATAATACAAGTAACACCCAATCATAGTAAGAACACAAGATTTACGTGGTTCGGCAATGTGCCTACGTCCACGGGGCAAGGAGGGGGGGGTTTTACTAATAATAATCAAGGGGAATACAAATTAGGGTTACAAATCTTACCAAAACCCACAAATAAACCCTCTTAATCTCTCTAAATGACTCCAACAATAAAAGCCCCAAATCTCTTCTTTTAACTGCTCAAAATCTTCTCCATTAAACCCTAAAAACGAGTTAAAGGTATTTATACAACTCCCAAACGAAACGGATCTGGAACTCAGAATCAGCCCAAACCCGCTACGCGGTCGACCGCGATCCATCGGCCGATCGACTGCCCGGTCGGACCGCCCTCAATCCCAGCAACAAGCATCAAAATTCACTGAGAAAACCAAAAAACAGAAACTTCTGCGGTCGACCGTCACGATCGACCGCCACAGGTGCAGTCGCTAATCCAACTCTGTGCACGAACACGGTCGACCGCCAACCTGTCTGCCTGTCTGTATGAATCATGAGCCTGAAAACTGCTATTCTGCCAATTCTACACAAGTAGTAACATGCAATACAATAGCCTCACAAAAAAAATTATACTTAGTCATGCTATCTATACGGGTAAGATTAAAACATAATAATTGCTAAAAAGATTGTATGATCAAACATGGCATGCGACTGGGAATGAATATGAAGACTTGTCTTATGCTTGGTAGAATAACATCACATGTACTGTAACCTATGAATTAAATCGCAACTTATGTGGACATGGAAAATATTTTTTTCAGCATGAAAGAAGACTCAGTTTTACCAAAGCATCTTCAAAAAGGATAATAAGACCCTCCACACATCAAATCTGTAGCTATTCATTGTCTTTATTCTAGAAGATTGTTTACACTTTACATATAACTCTACCTGCTGATTCACATTGTAAATAGGTTACCAATTTTTACAAGGGTAATTCAAGGATACATATAAATGAGAGACCGATAAAACAAGAAACTTTAACGTGTGCAGAAAAACTTACTTGACGTAGTTGGGCATTGACCTCTGCAAGAAAACCTTCATCCAGTCGCCCTTCTTGTTCCCTCTTAGCTATTTCCTAGTGAATATAGAACATAATATCTTGATACTGTAATGTTAAAGAGTGGTGCAGAATTGGTAAAGAAACAGGCCTTTCTGCAGATACCATTTGCGAGAGGCAAGTCTCCATGAAAATTTTCAAATTTATATGTTGAAGTACAATGTCCAAATAAATCACTGGTATGTCATGAGAATATCACATCACAAATCAAATATGTCTACCGTCTAATAAATTTGCAACCTTATCAAACTAGATATTGAAAATTTACTTTTATAATTATGTCAAGACTATTAGAAACTTAATCGAGCATTGACTAACATGGTAAATGCACTAGCAGGTAGAAAAGAAATGCTATATTGCAATGGACTGATGTACAAGATATGGAGATAGTAGGCAACAGAATGAAAAGAAACATCTAATGATAATTAAACCACTCTAGGATTAGAAGTCTATGGACGGTACCATAAGGAATAACATTATAATAGGCCACACATTTGGTTTTTATGTCTCTATAACAGTTCTAAACTTCTTAATTTAAAGCTCTCCTCTGGTGTTGATTTTGAGTTTCAAATCAAATCCTACTAGCAAAATAGAAATTGGTCAGTTGCAAATTATACATATTATTTTAGGAGTAAAATTACCCCTGACCAGTTGAGAACACCATAACTCTTTATTACACGTCTGGAAGGCACTCATAGACCATCACTTCACATGATGCCACCTGAGACATTATTGCCAACAACTACAAAAACCAACTCTCACATGATGTACAAGTTTAATACTTACGTTCTCCAGTTCTTCTACACATCCATATTAGCATTTCCCAATTTCCATGTTTATTATGTTATCTTGAACCCTCTATCGCTTAATAATAGAAGTATATCCAGGTCTCATATTAATAATTCAAAGTTTTCCTTAAGAGTAAGAATTGAACTAAGAGTCTGCACTGAGATGAACATAACTAAGGACTAATGTAAGGTATTAATTAAAAGTAAGTATTACTGTTGAAATGGGTAGGCAACTTGATTTAGATAAATTCCAAACCAGTGATTTACTTTTTCCATCAATATGAGAGCTTCAGGATCCCTTGGAGGCCATGAAACTTCTTCAGCTTCAGCGACTACTGGGTTTAGAATTTCCTTAAGTATATCTGTTGCAGATTCTATCTTCTCCTGCATCAGAGAAAAGATAATATTAACAAATTAATTCATATTCTAATTGAAAGAAAATCTAAATCTTAAATTAAAGTCACGAAAACATATCTCTGCCACATTATTAGTAAATCTAAAGACAGAAGGTATGACCAAGTTAGAGGATAAACTATAGTATAACATTCAATTTATGTCGACATAGTGGGAAACATGTCTTTTTCCAGGGAAAGATGAAGTAATTAAAAAATCGATAGCACAAAACAATTTCTGCTACTATTCTTGCAACTGAAATAGATAGAAATGAATAAAGAACATTAAGCACGATTATGTATGCAAGAAGAAAATGAAAACAAATTAATTGGTAGAGAAGTCAAGTAACTGCATGTTTCATATAGACAAGCAATGCACACAGCTAATCAAGGGAAGGAAAGTTTTTTTTTAAGTACTACAGTACAACATCCAGACAGTAGCCTTACCCCTCATGATGACACCAAATAATAATTAGTCATATCATTGACAGAGGATATTTTCTATAAGGTTAAGCTTTGTTAAATTGTAAGAAAGAAGGGGTAAGGAGGATCTATTCTAACGCTGCCTCTAATTGTAAGAAAGAAGGGGTAAGGAGGATCTATTCTAACGCTGCCTCTAATGAAATAAGTTCATCATTATGCTGATACATATAGTTTCAGCAGTAAAAAACTGCCTCTAATGAAATAAGTTCATCATTATGCTGATACATATAGTTTCAGCAGTAAAAAACAGAACAATGGTAAAAAAAAAGTTAAGATCAGCCTGGATTGTTGGATTATTCTTTCTAACTGTTGGTACCTGAAGCAGTAGCAGAAACAAGTGCTTCTATTTCATTAGTGTAAAAAGTGCATCAATTTTCCACACCTGCTTCTAGCCAGAAATCAGGATTGAAAGCAGCTCGTAGGTAGATACGCCAAATGATAAAGATCAAATATCATGGTTAATGTACAGTGACGAATATAAGAAAAGGAAAAAGAGAAAGAAAAGTAGGGTTCCCTGAATAAGGTTCAAACTCAGAACTACCAAGTGAATGTAACAAATATAGAAGAAACAATGTATTTTTTTTTACAGTTGTTCATGCATTTAAAAGTTTAGAAAACTTTACAGCAGTATTAGTAAAGTCACAACTTAATGGCATCCATACTTCATTAGAATTTAAACATGAGGGGACATTACATTAGTTTTGTGAACCAGGCGATCAACTATGCTCATTATAGACACTGCCAATTCCTCATAATCCTTCTGCAAAGTAGAATATCATTTTCAGATGAAGATATCATGTTATACAATGTAAATTTCCAAATGGTTTTACAAGTTGAAAATCAAAATAAGAAAAATTATCAACCCAGTAAAAAACCATGCTTTATCATCTTCGGATTTGCATGTGTCCGTTCGAGCAGCAAGCCGAATCCAAAAGCCCTCATTAAATGCCAGGACGTTTTCGACAACAAGTTGTTCAAGCTAGTAAAAGAACAAAAAATTAACACATCAGGTATTTGGTCTACATAGAACATTCATATTTCTGTGGAGTCAATAAGAAGGTGAAAAGTACAACAGTATGTTAATTACTGAAAAGCATTGGAATATAAATAAATTCATGAAGAGCCGAGTCAAAACTCAAAAGACTGAGAAGACGTCTTTTGAATGTCAGCAACTTCCTCAGATCACCAACCAAGAACACATGAAGAGTAGCATTATTTTGATACGATGTAAAAAAGGAAAAAGGCAGCAACTATTCATGCCTCCACTAGTCTGAACTGCAAGGTGGACGATTTTCTCATTAGCAAATGACTGTTTTACAACCGAAATTGGGTTTTGGAGGAGGGAGGGGGAACCGTTGACATCACTATAACTAAGAGAAAAGGGGATTCCGTCCAGAAGAGTTCAGAGCTGGACCATGCATATTCTGCTTCTAGAAAGGTATTGAGGATGAAATTACGCTCTTTCGAGCAGGTGTAAAATTGTGTATTTACAGTTTTTACAAATGAATCCAAAGATAATACTTTCGCAGGATAAATGGTGTCTGCTAAAGTTAATGGCCTAATTAGTGATCCCAAAGGTCTAGCAGCAAACATGTGCATAAGAGGTAAATGGACCCTTGCACTTTCAGGAGGCATATTCCCATTGCATTATTGCACGATCTGCCGGAGATGCTGCCGCGCTTGGTAGCTGGAGCTTGTGTCATAGCATTGATTGGAAACGTAGCTCTAACAGAGGGGATGAAATAGGACTGGCAACACCGCCCTACATGGCAAGTAGTCGGAAAGGTTGACGGGGATGAGCACTTACTTCGCTAACATCTGAATCTCTCAGCGTATCAATGAGACGGTCCACTTCAAGAGTCCTCTTGAAGGCTTCCTCAGCATCTTGATTCACTGCACGGATTAAAGTTTTCCTGTCAAATTAAATCCAGATGTCATTTGCTATTTCCAGCGGTTGAAAATAATCTGTACAAACATATACTGCTGCTGTGGATTTCCATAGCTACGCGTTCAGCAGCTCCTCAAATTTTTTCATTTTCGTTGGAATTTAACAAATAGTTCTGCACTCAGCATGTCTCCGGTAATTATGAGGCACCGGTGCCACAAATACAGTGCCAAGTCTAATTAATAAGAAAGGTGCGTGTGTGTGTCTTCTTTCTTTTTTTTTTTTTAATAACAATTGAAAGAAGGGTGTTGGAAACCTAACCTCCTTCCAAATTCAAGCTTGAAATGAGGAGTAAGTGAATACGCCTTCAAAGTCCCCCGCTTTTGCGGCCGCAAACCCTAGCACGTCGTGAAGAACACACAAAACCGCGAAGAACGTGAAATGACAGGAACAATAATAGAATTCCATGAAGATGACGGAGATAAATTACCGGCGGATGAGAAGGCAAATGGAACCGGGCGGTGATGGGTCCCGAAGCAGGTACAGCCGCCNCATTATTATTTCGTGCCAGTTTTTGGGGAGGGGGCGGGAAATGGCGAGGAGGCAGGAAAATCAGAGGCGGAGGAATTAGAGATTGGATAAGGCCCCGAGACGTGGTAAACCAACATCAAAGAAGCGTCTTTAATGGATCAGGCCCAAGCCCATAGGGAATTTCAGTCATTTCAAACCCCCAACCTCCTTAGCCCAATTGTATGCGGAAGCCCAAAACGAAAGAAGTGGCCGAGTAAAATGAGAAAAAAATTATATCTTAAGACCAATGTGGGCCTTTTCTCCGATTACGGGCAGGTCATCGGAAAATGATACCTGAAGTAGGCTGCACTTTCTATCAGAACACCCCCCATCGCTTTGAGGCGGACAGTAAAATATCCAAACGTCTCCCATGCTTAGCACATCCATGTGGTCCTCCGCACCGCACCTCATGGGCTCGTGTATTGTCTGATAAACATGGATACCATTCTAAGGATTTTAAAATTTAATTGCTGATAAAAGAATGGACCACATGACTGGTATTTATCAATAGCTTACTTATACTACAACCCTTTTTCTTTTCTTTTTTCCCCTTTCTCCTCAGAAAGTTGAAACAAGGCTTAATTAATGACTTTGGTAAATATTCACCTCCATAGAGAAACATTCTCTAGCCTATCAATAACACATTTGGAATTTTGCATATGTCTCTAACCCAATCACAAAGATTTATAGCCGTAAGAATTTGTAAGATTTATTTATTTATTTATTTATTTTGGGTGGGGATATAAGAATGTCTTGGTAATTAAAACAATATTCAAACGGTATGGCACTTAACATTTATCATATTTATCATATAAGAAAAAAAAAAGTTTTTTTTTTTTTAGCTGCAGCAGTGAGAATGCGGCTGCGTTAAATTTGATGAGAGCGCACCAGGACACAACACAAAGGATACATGCGTGATCCCGGACCCTCTTCCTTCTACTGATCAGCGTCCCCCTGCAGCAGACTTCGGAGTCAAATCATCTGCTGCCCCGCGCACCCCCTCCTTCTTTTTGCGTTGCATTGCGATGCTCAACGTTGATGAGATTGCCGCATTAATTAATCAACCAAATATTATTAGTCAAACCTTAAAATTATATCACATCCGAAAGATCATCGAGTGGATTGATTGTTAAGGTTGCCCATGACTTGTCACCATCAACGTCCCTGATTACTAGGAAACCACGGGAGAGAACAAAAAAAAAAAAAAAAATCTAATTACTTAACCCACGGGAGAGAACAAAAAAAAAAAAAAAAATCTAATTACTTAACGAGGAGATGACACCGGCCTGTACTCTTTACTTTGCTTTTGGATCGCTAATAATGGGGGGAAAAAGGTATATACAGTCAACTATTTAACCTTGATAACTGTTTCTTCTTAATAGTCTTTTTTGTCATAATACTTGCTTGAATCGTGTTGATATTATTGTATGTGTTAGTAGTATGTTTAATCCCACGTCGGTTACGAGAGCACACATCCTCCTCCTCTACACATCCTCCTCCTCTACTTGTATACTTAATCTAAGGGAAATTTATCCCAAGACTCTCTCTTTCTCCTTTAACATGGTATCAGAGCAAGATTAATTTTTTGCCAAATCTTGGTCTGGCCACACTGTGACCTCTTCGTTGTTGCCTCCGTGCTTGCCGAATCGCAGCCTCCGTGGAAGCCGTCTCTAGGCCTCACACGAATGGCATAGTCGTTTCACATTCAGTAACGGCTTCGCCATTTCAAGACTATCTCTCGGTCTCAAACTAACGTCATCGTCGTTTCAAGCTGCCTTTCGGCCTCAAACGAACGGCATCGCTGTTTCAATCCATCTCGACGTCTCGACGTCTCAACATCGGCGTTGATCCGTCGTGGGTTTCATTTTTTGTGGGCCCCCTTACATTATCACTTAGTTGTGGACCTTCCACCTTTATGTTACACTTAAGTAGGCCTTCCCTACATAACATTGCTGTTAATATGGCTCCTTCAGAAAAGATTCCTAAACCACCTCAACCCCTCAATGATCAAAGTGATTGGGCAGGGTGGTCCACCATTGTCGCAAATGCCTTACGCGGTGCTGGTCTGCTTGATCATCTCACCAGTTCGGGACTAGTGCCACCGTCCATCAGCACTGTTGCTTCCTTCGGTACTGTTATATCTAGCACTGGTGATACCGATCATCAAACCGCACATGCGCTATATGTCAAGGAGAGTTCGGACTAGCAGTAGCAGGAATTTCGTGTCATGGATTATCTCACTCGCTTTGTTGGCTCTGGTCTCACTATGGAGATTGGCTCGTTTCCCTCTATTCAAGTCATATGGAGTCGTCTCACTGAGCGCTTCACAAAGTGTTTCGGTGCACAAGAGGCATATCTTCTGCAACGCGTTGCTATACAATGTAAACGCAGTTCCTCTCAGCAGTCGCATTTTGGTCAAATGCAAGAGTATTTGACAGAATTACGCTCCATGCTTCCTGGACGTAATTCCACATACGAAGACTGACTAGCCTGGTATGAACAGTATGAGGTGCATTAACTGTTTTAGTCTATTCCTAAATATTCAACTATTGCTGACCAACTACTTCATCATCCTCAATTTCTGACTTTAGCCTCGGTTATGGGAGCTCTCACTACTTATGAGACATGGCAGCAGACCGCACAACTCAATTTGACAACGGATGCTCCTGCCTCTTCACTCAAAACTATTATGTCTGTACCAGTCACTACTCCTATTATGAATCATACTTCTCAATAGGCTTGATATAAGCTTTTTTTGCACATATTGCAATAAGGAGGGGCACCACATTTAGACATGCTTCAACCTTCATGCTGAGCTACGTTCCCCATGTACCGGTCGTGGTCAACGACCCCTCAGTCTCAACCCTCTCATGCACGAGGATTGATGGTCAATGTTATACCATCTACCACTTCTACCACTACTATTCAAGCTATTGAAAATCATCACCGTCAACTTGATGCTCTTCAGCATACCACATTTACATCACTGTCTGGCTTTGCTAACTCATCAACTGCACAAGTCTCTAGTATGAATGATCTGTAGATTTTTGACTCTGGATGTTCCTTTCATATGACTCGTAATGCCTCACTCTTATCCTTTGTCTTCACTTTATCTTCTCTTCTCACTATCTACATGGCTGCTGGCAACCATTGCCTATCGCAGTATGGCTCTATCACCCCCACAAAATGATCCATCTGGTCGTCTAACACTTGGCCCCGTCTATGTGGGTTCTCAGTTATGCTTGAATTTAATTTCTATTAGTTTTTTATGTATGGCTGACATACTTGTCTTATTTTCTTCTGGTACTTATCTTGTGCAGGATCCACAGACGGGCAAAACTGTTGGGGCTGATCGTAGGAGACACAAACTGCATTTTTGAGAATATCTTCACCTTCCAGGGTCCATACATTCACGTTCTCTTATTGATCCTGTTTGTCCATCAAAACCTTCTACCTCGCTTCCTGCCAATTTGTGGCATATACAACTTGGTCACGTGTCCAATAAAAGACTGGAGAGCCTTATC